TCTGTCTTTTGGACTTCCTCGTATATTTTGTCTGTTTGATTCTCTCTCTCTCTCTCTATTTCTGTCTCTGTCTCTCTTTCTTTCTGTCTCTGTTTGTCTCTGTCTCTCTTTCTGTCTCTGTCTCTGTCTCGGTTTCTGTCTGTCTGTCTGTCTGTCTGTCTCCCTCCCTCTCTCTCTCTCTCCCTCTTTCTCTCTCTCTTTCTCTTTCTTTCTCTCTCAGGTATATATTAGTCGGAATATTTTGAGAATGCGATCAGCCATAAATTACCTGCAATCAAATCAAACTATTTCCATTATCTGGACTATACTTACCGGAGTTCTCTTAAAATCCCATGGTGATCAGTATGCATGACGAATACAAAAAAACTCATTATAAGAATTATTACAACAGATAAAGGATAAACTGATAATACAAACACACATCACATGGCATGCTTCTCAACGAACGTGAAAAGTATAACGTTATTGGACATGCAAACGTTTCTAATCTTTAAACAATAAAGTGGGATAAAGCCAATATTCAATTCACTGTGGATCGCTAAATGCATTTTTTTTTTCATGCACAATTAACTGGAAAGATACTTGGCTATCTCTCTCACTCGTTCCTCTGACTCGCCACCCGCCTCATATACCCCTCCCCCCTCTTCCCCACCTAACCCCCTTCCCCCCTTCCCTGGAGCTGAGTGACTAGGCAGTTACCGTCACTGGATTTTTCAAACGTTTTTCGCGCCCAAACGTTTACCTCCTCCTCTGCTCCCGTTTCTCTCTTTCTTTCTTTCTTTTTCTCTCTCATTCTCTTGATATCTCTCTCTCTCTCTTCTCCCTCCCTCCCTCTCTCTCTCTCTCTCTCCCTCTCCCTCCCTCCCTCTCTCTCTACCTCCCTCCCTCCCTCCCTCTCTCTCTCTCTCTCTCTCTCTCTCTCTCTCTCTCTCTCTCTCTCTCTCTCCCTCCCCCCTCTCTCTCTCTCTCTCTCTCTCTCTCTCCCTCTCTCCCTCTCTCTACCTCCCTCCCTCTCTCCCACTCTCTTTCCCTCTCTCTCCCTCTCCTCCCCCCCCTCCCTCTCACTCAACGATTAGAATTATCCTCAGATTTTACCAAGACATAAAAAGAAATAAAAATTCCTCTCCAATAAACAGCCCTCCTCCCCTCCCCCCCCTTAAAAAAATAGGAAAACCATAACACTCACACCATCGGCCCATAACACCCGAACAAGAACCCACAAGCTATACTTATTTCCTGTTTTGTCTAATTTTTACAGGTACGAAACGACACAAGACATTATCACGTAAGAGCGAAAGAGAGAGAGAGAGAGAGAAAGAAAAAAAAAAAAAAACACATGGTATTTGAATTCAGTGTACAGTATAAACACAGTTTTTTTGGTCATTGAAGTGTTGTTTTTCACTTGCTGTTTTACCAAGCAAGGGAAGCAAGTGGCCTAAAATATTTAACTGTTATGGGCGTTAAAACATAAACACAGACACGAAATTCAAACTGAGGTGTAAATGTATATTCTTTTATTTTTTTTTTTTTTTGGAAAACAAATACACGGAAGGAAATATATTGACACTACTATTTCGTATAACCAATACTTCGAAAATCTCAAAACCTATTTCCACACTCGGAATCGACATATTAATACTAACAACAAAATACCCTCACAACTACAAAAAAAAAAAAAAACACACACACACAAGAAAAAAAATAATACTTCTCATTAACGAATTTATAAAAAAAAAAACAGAAAACGGAAAGCGAAAATGAATAAATAAAAAAACACACAAAGTGAAGAGAATTAAAGTTGGTCGCTAGCGTTCGCAAAGTCCACGTTCCGACCACCAGCTTTAGTTTATATTACGGGAGCAACTCTTGACTCATAATTATGCATTCGCTACGATAAATGGCGGTGCAATTTCCTATCTATTGTAGGTCTATACTTCTTTTTTTATATTATTGCTGTGTTCACATAATAGGACTATATTTTTGTGCCACACAATCATAATATAATAGATCTATATGTTTTATCCTTTCTGCATATTTACTTTAATAGCCAATAATTATTTTATTATTATTATTTTCACGGATTCACACCTCGTTTAAAGCACGTAACGTAAGACATGGAAATATAGCCTAATATATATAGATATAACTTTTCACGTACAGTAGTAGGTATATATATAAAACCACTAATTCTAATCACAGCGTCATTAATATAACAAACCGATAAAACTACGAACAAGAAAAAAGAAAATGTAGAAAGTTAAACAACAAATCGATGCATTAGATACAGCCATCAAAAATGTAAATATAGGTAACAAATACACAGGCTTTGAATAAGAACAAAAATAAAAAAGAAACACACCACGAATTTCACAAAAAAAACACACACCAAGACAGAACTCTCATCAGCAAGAAAACGAGGAAGAAGAAGAAGAAATAGAACAAGAATACAATAAAAATAAACAAGAAAAACATGCAAAAAAACAACAGCAATCGGTCTCAC